ACATATCACTGGAAACGTACCGGTTGTGTAGGTGTTACTTCTGCGGGAACGTTAGGGGTGGTGACAGTGGATCCAAGGACAGAAGTAGGAATCGGCAAACTTTCCAGATGGCCAGTGTTCAAATGACGTCCGATAGTAACGGCGGTTGCTTGAGCAGATGATCTGTAAAAAATGTGAGAAGGGTGACATCGAGTAGCAGAAGCAGTAACGACTAACGACAAAAAGCAAGTTGGATGGGGAGAGACCATTAGTTGCCGACCCCATGAGAATCGCAAGTAGAAGTGAATTTTCCAAAGGTATAAAGGTTAAGTATTCGAACCGAATAAAGATGAATGGACCCTTGGCACAATTCAACAATATAACGGAGATAATATTGTGATAGTTACAATGTATGCGGACAGCACGAGATAAAAACGATGGAGACATTTCCACCTTCCCAATCTGATAACTGAGAAGAAACTGAATGGTTGCCGAGCAACCTATGTGGCGGATGATTCAAACAAGAACTTTTAGGCGTTTTACTTTAGCTAGTCTTAATGCAACTCTAGCGGTTGACGCTCATTATCCGTGAGCCGGTGATCATAATCACAGACTTGTAAGAATATGAACGTGGCGTGGATTTTGAGTTGTTCTCCGAACTGAGTGATTGTTTTGCAGATGTCTCGTTGCCAGGCTAGACGACGACATCAGTGCAACTTAGGGGGCCTGGTTCGCAGTGCATAGTAAGCGACATCGATATTTAAGTGCTTACTGACTGAGTTATGCTTTGAATGCCAGGCTCCATTAAACTCATGTGTTTGCCGGCTTTTAGTGCCTCCGAGGATGCTGGCGCGTTCCAGGTCGAATTAGTGGTTGTCGGCATCCATATGCACGAACACAAGGGAGTTCTGATCGTGGCGACAAATGGCTAAGCTGTGTTCGTGTAGCCTTGCGCCAAGCTTTCTTCAAGTCTGTCCCACGTAGTATTTATCACACTTCCGGCAGCAGATCATATAGATCACATTAGTTGTCTTATGCTCGCTCAGTTTACCTTCTACTTTGAAAAGCTTACTACGAATTGTCTCAGTTGATTAGTGTGCAACTTTGACTCCAAAAGGTAATAAATCTCTCGCTGTCATTTCAGATTTCGTTGGTATAAGGCAATTTGGCTCTCTTTTCAATTTTTATCGGCTCGTGGACGAGCAGTCTGCATGCTTGGCTCGCAATCATAAGATCACCGGTTGGAATCCGCGTAGGGGCGGGCGTCCTCGAGGTATAGTCAGCCCACGCGCGACTAGTGGTGGTCGCACGGCAGCGAAGCGCCGTTACGGTGTACAGCTGACACTGTTTTTTTGTACACTTTGCAACTATTGCATTTGTTGGGGTGTGTGGTGGAGCCAGGAAGCGTAGAATGAAGTCTTTTGGGTACCAGTTCCGCTTGAGCAAAATGAAGAGATGGTATTTCTCCGCCTGCATCAGCTGCGGCGTGTTTGTGCTCATTTGAAAAGAGTTCGAACGCAGTTGCGTTTGTGGACCGCCGGATGATTGCTGCCGTAATTGAGGATCTGGTCCGTATGCGCTGATTTTAGGTGAACGGTCGTTTCCAGTCGTCTAGCACCAATCCTTGATATGAGACCGTCTAAAATGGTAACTGACCGTTGTTCTCCTCCCCTTGGTGAAATGAATGCCATCGAACACACTGTTGATTAGCATGTGTGTCCTCCAATTTGGAAGGCTTGAGGATCACGAAGGTATCGTCCAAGTGTCGTAACCAAAGTTTTGATCTCGCCGTTGGGAGTGATATTTGTTCCAGTGCCAGCATCACTGCCTCGGCTAACATTCCGGAGATTGGCGATACCATTGGTATGCGTCTTATCTGCTTGCAAAGTTAGCTATTGAAAGTGAAATGTTTTGTTAGACAGAATTCCAGTAACTTCATCATCTGTCTGGTGTCAAGCTTACTGCTTCCATCGGATGGTATGCGTTCCTCCAGTAGGCTGGTTATTGTTTGTTTTTCCAAATTGATGTCGATTGATGTGAACAGTGCGGTTACATTATTGCTTCCCGTTCTATGGTTGTGGTTTTGAGTCTCGTAAGAAAGTGTCAAGTTGTAAGTCTGTAATTTGGTGTTCCAGGTAGCGACACAATGGGAAGGAGAGGCACTCCACAGTTGTGTAGTTTAGGCGGGCCGCAGAACCGCGGAGGTACGGAATCTCATCATTTAGGTCAAATTTCGTAATTTGTCCTATTTGTTCCAGTCGTTGCAGTTTGTGTCTAATGTTGCTTTCTAGGCGTCTGTCAGAGTTACGCTTAGCGGCTGGTATGTGTTGGTATCACGGAGTAGGTGTTGCGCTCTTATCCTGTAATCAGTTTTATTCATTTGAAGGGTAAGACGTCTTATGTCGGCCGGCAGTATAAATATGCTTTTGTCTTTTGAGTGATTCGTCAGAGCATTTTGTTCATACAACAATGAACCTGTATCACTACAGATCAGTCGCAAGTTGAAATCGACATACCCAGCGCCATTGAATACAGAATACCACCTAGGCATAAGCATTGAGTAAGAGCAAGCCTAGTTGCAACTGTGGAAGCAGTATGCATACGGGTAACAAGCCCCGACTTGTAGGTTCAGAATAAAATAGCACAATCACTGCGACTCCAGTGGCTAGCCATCAGACAAGAAAGAAGCGACAGCACTCCGCAAACTCACCCAACTTCAGTCACGGGACCAGAGAATTGACCACATGACCGCAAATCAAAGTAGCTAATCAATTGGTCAACTGAGAGTCACAACCGACGTTATCCTGCATTATATGAATGTATAAGCCAAGGGAAAAATTAATCGGAAACAACTGTTTGTTTGAATCAAGAGTTGACCTGCAACAGTTGAAAAGAGAGACGTTGCCTTATATCAACGAAATCTCTAAAATGACAGCGAGACTTTTAGTACCTTTTGGAGTCAAAGTTGCGCACCAAACAACGGGGACAATTCGTAGTAAACTCTTCAAAGTGAAATAAAATTCAGCGAGGAGGAGGAAATTGATGTGATCTACATGATCTGCTACCGGTGCTATGTAGGACAGATTTGAAGGAAGCTTGGTACAAGGCTACACGAACACAGGCTATCTATTTGTCGCCACGATCGGAACTTCCTGATATCCGTACATATGGATGCCGACAGCCACCAATTCGACCTGGAGCACGCCAGCATCTTCGGAGGCACCAGAAGCCGGTAAGCACATGAGTTTAATGGAGCTAAGAATTCAAAGCAGAACTCGGATAATAAACATCTAGATCTCGAAGGCGTTTATGAGGCTATGCGAACCAGACCCTGAAGACGCAGTGATGGCACCTAGTCTGGCAGCGAAACGTCTACAAAGTAGTCATTCAACTCGGAGAACAACTCAAAAACATCCACACCCCGAGTTAGGGATAATTTCTAGCCCCACAAGGGTGAGATAGCGAGTGCAATGATAGTGACTCCAGATAAGAGGAAACGATGTTGAGGAATATTCTTCGTAAATATGATAGTTTTCTAATAACTCACTTGTAAATGTTGGATTGGCTTCCGACTCGGTAGATGCTACAGCGACTACAAGTTTACTTCTCGCCTAAGGTGTTGGCCAGTGACCGAAAGGAATACATGCCTGTCTTCTAATCTGGAGGTCACCGATTCGAATCCGCGAAGGTGCGGGCGACATCACGGTATACCCCGCCCACGCGCAACCGATGGTTGTCGCGTGGCAGCGAAGCGTCGGCAAGGTGTGCCGACGTACTGTTGACATCTTTCCCGGAAGTAAACTGACCACTGGTTGGTTCGGTGGAGCTGTACGCTACCGGGCGCGTCCCCAGTTTGTAGATTAAAGAATGCCTTGTGGAGGCAACTGTGATTAAGTCTCATGTGAGGGGAATAGGAAGTCACGGACAAGCAGCGGAAACGTCTCAGAGCGTGGAGGTTCTGGGCTAGTCACTTGGTCCCTCATTAGATACCACAAGATATTGTACAGCGAAGTGTCAAAGTAATGTGACCAGTTATAGGGTCAGTGACCACACACTTCTGTACCTAGAATCGAGACCATAAAGGCGGGCGGATGAACTATCTCGATGGATACCGGCTTCTATATGGGTTAAGCACTATGAAAGCATATGAGCCCAATGAATGCCAATGACCCTCGTGCCTGGCAGCGAGTTCGGTTGTCCAGGAAACTTTTCTTAATCTCCGAGCTATTATAATTTGGCTTCTTGGGCACCAGCACAATAACCGGCTGTTAGCTATCCGGATCGATGTCCATCCGTTACTGGTGATTCAACCGGCATGTCTCTGTTGCATGTTTTTATCCTTTCTTGTGTATTGCGGCACAATAGCTGTTTCCCTCTCTAGTTAACGTGTATAATGAGGATGATCATGGGTAGTTGGTTTCTACTCAAAAGCAGCATTATCCTCGTCTGGATAACCACCCCCCAACAATTCGCAATATCCGTTAATTGTCCCACTACCTTGAGAATCAGGTATTTATGGTTCAATTCTCTGGGTGGAGTCCCATAAACCAACTCCCTTGACCTGGGCAACCGGGAAGTGATAAACACACACACATTGCACAAAATGACCGGTGACCAATACAAGTGTCTCATATACGTTTACAGCCTACAAGCAACCAAAGATGCAAACATTCGAACAAAAGTACTGAGCAGGATTGAACAGAATCCTGACATCACATTACAGCAAGTGACCGGTGAGTGCCAGATAGTGACGAATCTGAAGCACGATCCATCAATGATTCAGCAGTTGTCCAATACGAACGAGGATGACCTCATTTGACCAATCAACCGGACTCCCCAGAAAGCACCAACTCAGGTGAGCCCACCACACTCCAAACCTCCCTCTGCCAGTTGATTTTGTAGAGAATAGCATGTTGCTCGACCCTGTCCATTTAAGAATCACGTTTGCAACCAATGCAGCTGAAGAGGCCATAGAGAGTCGTGTTGCTTGGTAAGTGATCCTATTGTGACCAAAAAGAGGCGCAACAATGCCACACCGTTCAGACGGCTCAATGGGATCAGGATGATCACCGCGATTTTCAAAGTTGACGGCGTCAACAGGCGTAAATACACCGTGGTGAAAATAAATGAAAGGAAAGTCAAGTATCAAACTTGATACTGCTTCAGATATTACTCTTATCTTT